AAAGATTAGATAAAATTTACCATTTGACTAGAGCCTTGAGATCACTTGGACAGGTGGCTGCTCCATTAAGTTATTCCCATCAGGGAAAGTAATGTAAAATGCAGCCATCTGCTTGCAAAACTGCTTAAATGTGTGTCCCCATCTCTACATGTGATATTTTATCAGCACACTACCACAGAGGTTTCTGTGGATATGGTATGATTTAAAAAGCACAATTAGAGATCATGTGCAAATACTGCTTCCTCTATTCTAAAACTTAACCTCAGTGAACCATGGAGAAGAGCTATAGAATCTGTGAAAAAAAAGCTTTGTTTCAGACTAAGCATTAACTCTCATTTTTATCCCACTTCAGTAGGGAGATCTGTGAAGCTAGCCTGAATGTAAAACATGGTATGAAACTTTAAAGTAATTTCCGGTATTGAAACATTACAATAATTAAATTGTCTCTAAAAAGGAGTTGCCAAATACAATAATTGGGGAACTGCATTAAACTGAAGTGCCCATTAGTGTTATAGAATTTTTTACCTAGTAATCTCAGAAGCACTGTTACAACAAACAGCTGATAAAGCAACAAAATGTCCACAGGCAAATACAGCTTTTTCCCATTTCACTAACGGGTAAATTGCAACAAGGTTAACCACCAATTTTTCAAGAGAGTCCATTAAGTTGCAGTGACATTTTTTTTTCTGGTACTCAACTTGAGAATTAAAGTTCTGTGGCTGAGAATTAAAGGGGTTCTTAGTTAAATTCTGAAATAAGTGGTCTGATTTTCAAAAATGCCAGCCATCCAGCAGATCCCAGTGGTTTTAACACAGGTGTTTCAAATTGACCACCCAACAATTAACGGATGAAAATGTAGTACTAAGTGCTTTAATCAAAGTCAGAGTGGCAGAGAAAAGAACAAAACCAAATGAGGAATCCTGACACAATTTCTTAAACTAACCACTAGCTAACACTATCTCCGGGTTTACTGGGAAAAATAGCTAGGGCCTGGTAATTCACTATGTGGTAGGGATGTTAAGAGCAGCCTTTGTATGTGGCCAGACCATGGTACTGTGGACAGGGGCTGCTCCGCAGGATTTGGAGCAGCCTCTGCTGCCCCTCCCTCACTCTGCTGCCTCTGATAGAGGCAACAGTGTGCAGGGGGAGGGGCAGCAGAAAAGGTGCTGGGGGGAACTGACTTTGAAGTTGGCTCCTCCCAGCACTGGCTCTTGTCCCCTCACCCGCCACTGCCTCTGATACAGAAGCAGCAAGGGGGGGGAATGAGTAGTCGATTAGGAATGAGTAGATTAACCGATAAGTCTAGGCTTATTGGTTAGTTGACTACTTGCTTACATCCCTCCTCTTTAGTGTCAGCAACTTGTCAGGCCTGATGTATTCATTGCCCCAAGTCAGTGTTGTCATGATCTGTATCTAAAAGGTGTCATGTAAGGTAACACACAGGTCAAGAGAATCATTGTCTCGGATATCGTTATAAATATGTGGTAAAATTACATTCTTGCAATATATTTGGCAAGCAATGCATAAGCTCAGCCTAAACAAACTCTATACATTTGCTTGTCCAATCAGCCTGGTCATCAAGTAAAGTTAATGAAAGTACATTTACATACAAGGTAAACAAAGCTAACAAGCAAGGGAGAAGACAGGTTGGTGTCTGTACCCCAAGGAAGGAAAGAGAACCTTTGCCTGGGCTTACTTTTCAAAGACTACCGTATTTTCCGGCGTATAGGGCGACTGGGTGTATAAGACGACCCCCTATCTTTTTAATTAAAAGATAGGGTTTCATCTTATATCCCAGCGCCCCT